CATTCTTAAAATATTATTTTTGTTAATATTATCGTTCTTGTACAAGGGTCTACAACATTCAGCCAGGATTTTGAGCATTTTTCTTGTATACTACTTATGAGTAGATAACTTATAATCGCAGAATCTAGCCAAGGGATGGGGCATAATTGGTACGTCGCCGTAATTTGAATAGAAGTAGTCCTATGATTTCCCAAAAGAGTCCTGAAGAAACGGGTCCTATCTTTTCAGGGATGTTAAAGTAGACGTAGATGAGCATTTCTGTGGCATATTCTTAGGTTTTCACTTGCTAATCTCCCCTACTAGGGGAACGCTTCCAAACGTGAGATGTCTCACCTGAACAAGGGAGGAGATATTTGTTTACTTTATCTTTCCCTTATAGCGGCGAAGACGACTGGAGAGAACGAAATTCCGTGAAGAATCTCCAATGCTGAACAATCGTAGGTTACGAGGCACGTTATCAGAAGAACGAAGCATTACACAATTGTTGTATATTTCGCAAAACGAAAAACATGGGAAGAAAATATCAATCACCAGTTAAACCGTGGATCCATGAAACATTCAGGAATAGCATTTACGGGGCTAACAAAATCAGAACACTAGCAAGCCATGTGATACGCATACAAAAAAACGAAGTGATCATCAGTCCTGTCCAAGATCGAAAGTTGAGGATGAAACCTCACATTCCTCTGTCAAACAAGTAGTCGCGCATATCAATTAACAACTGTTGCGCGCCAGGTTTCACTGACATGGCGGCGTTGTACACACCAACCAGGAGACTGCGATCAGTGGCTACGGCACCCAATTCAAAGTGTTTTTCCTCCTCACCAGGAGCATTGTCGGCTCTTAGCAGAGTGCTTTTGATAACAGTGGACAATAACAGCTTATTGGTTGAATCAGTCCTCGTGTAATAACATTGTTCCATGGCAAACTGAAAATTCGGATTCACCAGTGTTGTATCCATATCCTGTGCCTGTTTGAGATTTGCGGTTAGGCGGGGGGAGCGAGAGAGGCGGAGAGACATGAATATGATTACTCAATTGAATTGCGCGGATTTGCAACTCAAAGTAATGTAATCGACATTTGTTGTGATTACTGAAATCTTATTGATTCCTCACATCAGACAGGTTTTCTTATTTTGTTTGAAAATGAATTCTTTAACTGCGGATCTACACACTCAAAAGTATTCACGTCCGTCTCATCAATCAAAGGCGTCCGCAGTCAACGTACGTTAAAACGCCACCGGTTTTCTTCCGATCAATCAATTTTTCCGTATTCCTTATATGCCCCGGCCAGATCACTTTTTAACCTGGTTAAATGTCTTTTCTACCGTTTACCATGGTCTTAATAAAAATGGTAACGATATCAATATTATAATAGATGTTTTTACTTTTCATTTTGTTTAATAATTATTGAAAATGAACATTAAACTTTCAGGGATGGATCGTGAGCATACAAAGGCAACCTGGAGAAATATCGAAAAAAAACTAGGGATTTGAAAGAAATCAAGCGGAACGCGTTTTTGAACAACTGATATGTTCCTCATTTTAGCATCGTGCTCAGGGTTATCATAGAGCCACAATCTTCTCCGTTCTATTTCAGCTTGATCATACCGTGTAGGTTAGAAGACAAGGAGTAATCTCTAAAGGGTGTAGTAAGCGGACCGCGTCATTCAAAAAGAGACATAAACTTGAATATTCTAATTTTCATCGTCCATGGTGCCGTTTTGCACTAGGAGTGTTACTTCAAAATAACTTGAGTAGCATAGCAGAAATTTTTTCAAGCCTATTTAAAATCTGTCCAGCTCTGTGATGACCCTGAGGTCAGAAACAACACTAAGAACAGATCATTAGGTCAAAGATACATCGGACTTGCTTTATTTCAAGCCCTATGAACAGTTTCTGAGGATGGTAGCGTACAGTAGAGATTGGAAGCAATCAGACAGAGAGTAACGGTTGGAAAACCAAGACGTGTGTCCTGTTCGAATGACCTTGAAAAGTATGATGAATTTCATTTCAATTAAAGCATTTCTGTCACAAACGTTTATGTTTTGCTTCAGTAGCTGGACAATGTTACACCTACTCATTTAACTCCAGTTAATTTCGCACAAGTTGACTGGCAATGCATACATGTGATTTCTTCCATTTAATAAAATACGAGTAAGTGCTTTTCAATTTCGTTGAAAGACTTTGGTTTGCTTTAGACGCTTCCGCTTTTTCAATAAGTGTTTCTAAAGGAGGTTTACTAAGGGAACTATTCAGCCATCATGTCACGCTAAAAACGATGGATTTCCCGTAGATTTTTCTCAATAGTGCCAAAGAATCAGTGATCGCTTTACTCGGGATAAAACTAGTTGAGGAAACACAATAGTCGTCGGAACTAACGGCGCGATCACTTAAAGGTGTGAAGAAGAATTTGAAGAAGGAGCGCAACATCTTCATCCATCCAATCCTCGTCCAACCCCCCCCCCCTCGCACGGTTTTTCCTACTCCAAAATCAGTTTTAATTTGCAATGCCTACTAACATCACGCATTAGCATTTATTGTGATTCCAAAATACCCTATTTGGTAACCTGAAAGGTTCTACAAGAACTCGTTTTCAATCTCTGCTGTATATGAAAATGTGGCTTGTTTATGGTTAGACGTACGCCGCCATGATTTCACACCAACAGTTGCGTGTGTTTATGTGAATGAGAATGTTTGGCAGACATTTTTAATACCACTTATATCCTGTTGAAGTATTAGGCTCGACCTTCCGATTACTCCTAAAATGTACTTGTTTTTCATTCGGTATATATCGAAGAAGGAAGAAATATTATTAACTCGTATCTAATAAAGATTCTTGTCGAATAAGAAATAAGACTGTGTGCTTGAGAAATACAGCTGATCACTGACCGCAGCTTCACTATCAATTTCCCTTGAGAGCAGAATTCATGTTCAATATCACTAGATTGAAACAGGTGTATAGGGTTTCTTAGCTTTTCAATTCCAGTTTCATCTTTCACTCGCAGTTACTTGTGCGTAGTGTGTGTGTGTGGGATACTTGATATTTGATTGATTTGACTGACTATCATTCGGACTTAACCTTCACGCACAATCCTCAGTTCATCGATTCAACCATATACTCGGAAGCACTAGACACAAGTTTCGCTCGTATTAGAGCTCATCAGTAGTGCATATCCACCGTTCCGTCCGCGAGTTGAACTCTGAACCCATCGCATGGAATGCGTGTGTTTTGCCACTGTGCCACTGTGGCAAGTCTGCCCGTAACCTACATGGAAGTTCTGACTTGGTGGAAGGCTTTCGATTGCAGTTAGCAGGTTGTCATCTGTGTCTCCCTTCGTTGCTGTCTGGCCAAATGAACTGACTGACTATCACTTAAGACAACATCTGAACAAAAATGAATTGGCAATTTGATTTAGTCATGACATAAGCTGGATCCGGAGTTCAAATCCCGGACGGGACGGTGGATATGCACTACTGATGAGCTCTAATACAAGCAAAACTCGTGTCTAGTGCTTCCGATTGTATGGTTTAGTTGATGAACTGAGGACTGTGCGTGAAGGTGAAGTCTGAAGCATAGTTAATTAAATCAATCAATAATTCCAGCTTCGTTTGTTATATGCACGACAAGATACATCATTTTTATCATCATCAATTTTATTTCCTTTTATTGCATAAACAATAATACAATTTTCCGGAAGGGAGAAGCGGCCAATCATAGGGCCGCCATAAACGCAATGGGGAAAGTTAGGTGACGGTGGTGGGGTTCGAACATACGTCCTCTGACGTGATAACTTTGTGACCGGGCCACTATGTAATCTAATCAAGTCCTCCACTAACCACACGTAATAAAACACTTGATCACCACCTCGAATACTTCACTGTTCCACAGCACTTCTGAAATGAATAACGATGCAGCGAATTTTCCCTTCGTTTACACTAACGTTGCTAGATTGTCTTGAGTTATGCACTGTGATTCAAGTGTTTTATTCCTCGACCGATTTTAGGATTCATCGCATAGCTACTCGTTAGTAAGATAAGCATCGATATTAACTTAAGTGACCACCCACGAGACTTCATCTTCATCCACAGTTCAGTAAACATCTGACACCGGTTTCTATCCGATTGGAGTTCATCGGATTCTACTGCTTTCAACAGAAAAGAAAACTAAACATTCCCATTTCGTATTAGATCCCTCAAATATCACTGAAGGAATAGACATGTGACATTGTCGCTCTAAATGTTGGCACACGTGGATTCGATAGGTTTTCATATCGATTATTCAAGCCACCGTAGAATGCTTCCATTATCTGATATTCAATCTAGAACAGAGTGTTCGCATCGTCGTTAACATGCGTACATAATAAACGTCTATTATTGTGGGACGAACATGGTGGAAGCTCCAAGGATTCGCTCGTTATTCAGTACATCTCTCATGTACGGTGTTTTCCACATAAGAAAAAATGGAGAAAAAGATGTTAATGGCCATCTTGATGGATTTATTTTTTTGTGAGGGGGGAGTTGTAAAGGGAAGGAACATGATTGACTGCGATAGTGCAAGATGCGAGAAACTGCGAATAAATACGAGTGGTTATGAGAGTGACGTGACCCAACTAATGCAAACTACTTAGCTTACTCTCATTCACCTGTAAATGCACATTTACATGATCATGTGAACGGAAGAAGCATAAGTGTTGAAATGAGTCATGTGAACAAAGTTTTGGACAAGTGAGTTGAGTGATTTGTGTTTGATTAGGAGTTGGGGTCAAGTAAGATAAGAAAATTTGATATGGGGTGAACTGGACCAAACGATTTGGTGAATGTGGTGAACTAGGGAGGGGGAGGGAAGGTCATGTCACGTCATGCCATGGTAGGGTGGTATCAAGTGTGATATCATCACTACCATGGCAAAAACAGTTGCATCACAAATGTTTTTTGAACACATAATTGCGGATACAGTTGGCAAGACAGACTTTCGGTCATAGTTCCGATGTAGCATCAAGCTAACCGAACTAATATGTCAATCAATGCAATCACGACCTCTGTTACACTCATGTAGGCGGTGAACTAAATCTTTTTCAATTTAAGATGTCCGAATATCAATTTAAGATGTTATATTGCTATGTTAACAGTACAATAGTGCGATTGCTCCATCGTTGTCCTGCACTTTTTGTGATGACCTTGTTTTAACGTGCAGTAGTCCATCCGTATAATGAAGGCAAGTCTGACATGCATTCGAAGTTCACTGGGTCTGCTCCAGATTCGCGGTTATAGACAAAGGTGTGGTTTCTCGCTCAGGTTAGCTGGACAAGCACTAGGTCCCTTGTTGCAACTGGACTATCCGACCGATCGATAAATGAATCCATTCGGTCGTGCTATTTTCGGGCCTACATAGGAGAAGGATAAGTTCTCAATCCGATGCTGCTTAAGAGTTGGTAGAGAATCACCACAAGAGAATCAGTTGTGGAACGATGAACCAAGTGGGGAATTCTGAATGGAAACGTTCAAGCGATGATGACGCTGGGCAAACTTTAGGCTTGGCCAAGACACACGCAGTGTTTTTCTAAACGGGTTCGGTAAACGAATAATCATAGTTAAACCTTGAATTTGTCTTAAGTACGGACTGAAATATCCACTTTTACAGGCCAACGCAAATTTTACCAACTGGTTTTGTTTGCATTGAATGATCTTGCTAACTACGTCAGAGATAGAATTCCAGAGGAGAGCACGAATATTATGGAAGATGCATATTTGTTTCATAAAATTTGTTCAATGTGTTTTCCATCCTGCTGCTTGTATAGCGAAGAAAGTTTTCTTTCACCTTCAGAATAGTAACAGTTGAAACACCTTAGCACTGTTTTAGCTTCTCGTTCGTTCTCCATTATGGGGAATAAACGGTTTGCTTTAAATATTTGGTCAATGATTCTGGGCCCCTACTGGAATTTCGCGCGTGGTACCTGACATACTTGGATGCGTTTTCACGAATGATGCCATTTTATATGTGAAAGGAAAGGTTTCAAAC